TTGACGGCTCAAAATCATTTTACAAAAAATATTTCTTTCACTTTTGGAATTTAAAAATGAATAAAGAAAAATGAATTAATAAAATAAAATAAAAACTTGGTCACCTGATAAATTAAGATTACCGATACACTTTAGCATTCCAGATTTTGGGGGAACAAAAAATATGTTAAAAGGACAGTAAAATAGAGAGGGAGCAGACAAAGTTTGCAAAAGACTAAACCTTAGTCTGGATGGTTTAGTCAAATCTAGTTGCTAGACTTGAGTGGGAGTGTGCAACAGCTAAATTAGATTTTGTTTTTAAAGTAATACAAAAAAGTGTGGTGTCAAGTATGGAGTAAGCTAGAATCATGTAGTTGTTACATTTCCAATCAGATTAAAGTAATCAATGGGAGTCACTGGTGTCACATGATAATAGTAAAAAGCAGAATGCAACCAACTGTTGTTCTATGAATAAGAATTAATCGCGTGCTTTGAAAACAGCTTATATACACATAATAATAGCCAGGACAGCTCAAACTAGGTCCCAGCTATACTAAAACATGACAAAGGTACAAATGATTTTTAAATGTAAAAATAAGTTTAAAGGTGAGTATACCAACAGTTAAATCATAAGAGAAAAAAAGCAAGACATGACATGGGATGTTTGCAGGAACACACACACACACACACACACAAAGGTGAGAATAAGTTGACATAAAAAAAAAAAAAAAACAGAGACACAAATACAGCAAATGAAAGTCTGACAATAAACTTGCCAAAATGAATTCTAAAATGTACAACAAATCAAGCAAAACAGGAAAAAATCAACTCAAAATAAGAAAATACATGAAAAACTACACATACAGTAATAGTCAAGGTACAAGAACTTTTCATTAACAGATATTGTTCAATGTACCTCTAAAGTATAACAGCATTACCATCTGTAAATTGTAATTCTTTAAAATGTAAAATACTGTTAATGTAAAAATGTCCCCTTATGCTTTTCTTTCCTCTACCCCCCTTCCTTACAAAAAAGAGAGAGAGAGAGATAAAGCAGAGAAAGATAAAAGCTAAGAATATCAATGTGAATAAGATAAATAGAAAAAAGAGGCATGGGAGAAGAAATAGAAGGTTAGAGAAAGAGAGAGTAAAGATATTGTAGGGTTTCAATTCAGTGATGACGAATGGTATCTTATCCATGTCTGGGCATGAATTCTGCATGTGCCATAGTAATAGAAGCTGCTCTAAAACACTTTTATGCCTCCCATTGGCAGTATCTCTGGAGCTACAGCCTTCTAAAGTGCTGAGACTGTCTGTGGATCCAAGAGACATGAGGCCACTTCCTCTTTCCTTTTTCGTTTCTTGAGAAAAATAATAATCAACTCGTCCAGAATCAAAGTAGTGTGATAAATATTGTTCCCCACATTTCTAACTTTTGCCCTTTGTGGGTATGAAATTAACCAAGGTGTAATTGCTCTAATTACTTCTTGGCTCCATGGGGTTAATTAAAGCTATAAGATCTGACAGTACCAAAGCCAGCACCAAAATGAGAGAAGATAGTAGGCAAGAAAAAAAGATGAAGAAAAATAAAAAGGGGGGGTGGGAGGTCCCTCTATTAATGCTGTGCCCTTTTTATATGAAGACAAAGATGTTAGTAATGAAAAGTTCTGTAATGAGCGGTATTGCTTTAACCTTCCAAGGTGTTAGTCAAGCCGTTTGCTTTCTGTTACATTAATCTATATCAGGAAGCAGAGGTTCTAATATTACTCTCAAACTAAAACAGATTCCCTAACCCTTACATCTGAAATTTAGTACGGAACATAGATATATTATTTTTTTCCTGCAAACAAATAAAAAGGTAAAAATGCATACTAAGAGATGGATAACAAAGAAAATTCTCTAAAATTAATCTAAATATTAAAGTATGTAAATTCCAAAAAAAAAAGGTTAGTAATGCAATACTACTTACGCTCTTAACAGCAGATTTAACAGCAGGGTTGGTCTGCAAAGAATACGATCCCATAATTATAAGAAGCAAGCACCGAAAAAACAAAAACAAAGCAAAAGTTCAGCCCCTACTGGCAGCTGGGTGTAGTGCTTGGATTTTTGAGTCGCACTCACCCAACCCCAGAGAGACCATTCCCTTCGTGCCCCAATGAAGTCCACCATAAAAAAAATCAAAATGATAAAAATGCTGCTGCCATAGCCAAAGACAAAGAGTACATAAGGTGAAAAAACAAAACCAAAACAAACATTGAAAACAAACAAATGGTGGAGGAGGAAGGGGAAAAAAAATCTGTGAAGGAAAAAAAAAAATTAAAACCACATAAGTATCTAGGAAAACATTCCAGTACTCACTGTGTTAGTTTTCAGCAATCTTAACGGGCTCTACAAGAGACAAAGCAGAGATCTTCATTACAAACTGCACTACCCTTCACTTCTCTCTAGACTGATAGGCAAATATATTCTGTTGCTGCAATCTATTTACACTCAACTAAATGACAGGTTACATACACCACCTAAAAGCTTTCCTACATTAAACCTCATTCTATACTGTCTCTTAGAAAGATCATACATTCCTTATTCAAATGCTACCCAGCTACATTGCCTCCAAAACAATCATATGCATAGAAACTTTTAACCCCCTAGAAACCTAAGAATACAAATACAAATGAATTGAATGAAAAAATAAAATATTCCAACATCTACTACCTGTTGAGTAAAGAGAAAATATATATCAAGACCCTATTTACTATTAACGCTACCCGGTAAAGCACCCTATGTTACAGTGGTCTATCCATTTCCCATAGAAAAGCATGAGACTAAGTTTCATAAACACACAAAAAATGACTGATTGGGCCTGTTTTCAAAACGGTTTGTATGAAATGCTTATAATAATAACCATTCTATTTAATAATAGAAAAAACACAAAAAAGGACTGATTGGGCCTGTTTCATAAAACTATCATTCACTAACATTCACAAAAAAAGAGAGAAAAAATAGAAGAAAAAAAAAGGGGGGGCGGGAAATGGTTTTGAATGTCATCAAATTTTTATGCAGTCTTCGTAACTAGCTGAACTGTTATTCAATGCTGTTCTTCTTAGCAGTCAAAGGTCAAGACTTTCCCGATATTACCATTATTAATACATTCTTACCTTTTCACAATACCCTCATTTAGTCGTTACTTTCTTAAGTTACCAGTTTTTAAATTCTTCAAAATAAAAAATTGCTTTGTAATTCAAAACTAATTAAAGTAATCTCCTTACAAGTTTTTGTTTGTTTCTTTGTTTTTACTTTGCAGCTTTAAGTTCCTGTAAGAAAAAGTACATATAAACAGACTTTTCAGTAGTCTCTAAGATAAAATTATTGATAGCCCTTGTACTTCCATAGCTCTAACCCTTAAAGGAGATTTAAAATTGATTTTCACTATAAAATCAAAACAAAAAATATTTTTCCAGGAAGCTCAAGCATATATAAAAATTATTGGGTGAAGGTTTTTTAACATATGACTGTATATTTTTCTAACATTAAGAAGAGAGTTTTACAAAATAAACAATGATACACTGATGACATATTCTTCATACAATTATAAATACTTATCATGATAACCTACATGTATGCTTAACCTACCCAGATGTGCATCATTGACTGAATTCTTTTATATATATCACTGCAGACTAGTAAATTGGCTCATAAATCATGTCAAGTATTATAAAAAAATAAATAAAATAAAAGATACTTTGAGTTGAAGTAATTACACCCACTGCACTAAATCCTATTGCAAAAGGTAACAATTCACCAAATTTCACAAATAGCCCGTTAGCTTCTATCCCATTTCCAAATAATAATTTCAAGTAGATCAGTTTGCAGAATCCTCTAATTTTAAAGTGAGAATCACACATCCAGAAGAAAGAATAACTGGTGGGGTTACAAGAGAAGAGAAAAGAGGCATGTTATCTTCAAAAGATTGAATCTGCTCACACATGAACCTTGAACAGCAAAGAAGGTTAGTGAATCATTAAGAGTCAGAATATATGCTGATACCTGCACATCTGAAATGACCATAGAAGCTCAGCAGATGAGTTCAAAAAAGTATAGGAGGCAGAACTTTTCTTTTAAAGATCAACTTCAGCATTGTTGATATATAATATATAACATCAATATTAATATATATACCCTTAATTATAATTATAACTATCTATGTTCCCATTAACTACTTGGTAACTAAAGAATAAATGTGTCCCATAAAAACATCCACAACTTCCACTGCCTTCCAGATGTTTACATCACAACCAATAGCCCTTGAAATAATAAGCCCTTTGAAGAAAAAAAAATAAGGATGTAGCCCCATGACCCCTTCCCTTTGTCTTTTCCCACATTTTAGGCACTAATTCTGTCCTTCCTTTTACCTTGCTCTTGACAGTTTTCATGATGGCTCCTCCTTCCTTTCGTACATTGGTCACAAACTGCTTATACTGCTGCTTGACCTTCGAAGACGACTTTTCACAATGAACACTAACTTCTAATTCAAACTCATCTGAGGTTTGCTTGCCGGAATTGAGGCGGTCTAATCTCTCTTCGATGAACTGGAATTAGGTACAGGATGGAAATAACAATCATAGAAATGGCAGCATTAAAAATTAAACAATGTAAACATACAAACAAGCAGACAAAAAACAACAGCACACACATGCACGCACGACACACATGCACACGCACACACACACACACACACACACTCACACACTCACTCATCATGATCATTATTTATTTACAAACTAGAATCAGCCAAATCAGTGATGTTTCTACCTATACTACCCAATATTTATATTTGCCAATCTGACAAGTCTGCCAACTGCACAGATACAGAATACACCTTCAAGCTGACGACTACATGACAGATATTACAAACCTGTTGAAAGATCTGCAACTCCAACATCTTCTCTACAAATGGCTGGAAATGCGGCGGACGGATGGCAACAAATTTTTCTTTATTGAATGTTATTTTTGAATCTTCCTCTCTGAACTGGAGCGCCTCCTTGTAGTTGCCAATGAGCTGAACAAGCGCACGTAGGAATGCTCTTGCCACACAGTCGCCAAGCATGTTGCTTGGCGACTTGAGGTTTCTTTTGAGATTTGAAACCACCTCATCTGGGAGAGTTTCCACGTCATTGAAGGGAGTCTTGACAGTGTTGTTGTCGGCATCTAATATAACAGCTTCACCAATATCGTCCATTTGTACTTTCTGTGATAAAGCATACAGAGGTCTCAAATGAAGAGTAGGAAAAATAAGAATATACAAGTCTAACCAATCATCAACAAACTCTAAGCAATCCAGACCAGGGGCAGATGCTTTTCTTACCGACATAAGTGAGGTGTTAACACCAATGAGGAAAGGCATGGGTGCTAACAGATAGTCGATGAGATGCTGTGGTAACACTGGAATGAATATATGCTGCCACTGCATAGGGTATATGACTGAATTGGCTGCCTGAACACAGGCTGACAGCCGCGACAGACGCTTTGACACCATAATGATTCTTCTCTCGTAAAGCATTGATGCAAAGATGATCATCATGTTGTTTGCGTCCACTGCATTGTAGTACTCAGATAGGTCACGCTGAAATTAATGAAGGAGATGACATACCAAAGAATATCATTACAATGCAAAATGTCCTTTGTCTTTCAAACTTAATGTAAGGTATAATACCAAATTGAAACCACTGTAATCAAATTACTGTGTGAAATTTGTCTAAACTTCTGACTATTTATTCCCAAATACAATCTAAATAACAGACCCAATAGTTTATCACATTATGAGAGTGCAATTTTTATTTTCTATCCAATAGATATTAGCATAACTATGATATAATTCTAAATCAAAAACTAGCCCTAACTAATAAATAAACCATTCAATAAAAAAGAAAAAGCAGTAAATTACAAGATATTAGACATAAAACGTGTCATGAATAGGCTAGTACTCATTAACAATGATTAAATCAAAATTGCTAAACTTTCCAAACAAATATTAATATATAAGAAAAAATCCTACACTATAAAATTCATATCTCACCCAATACAGAATCAGCAACCTAAGTAAACCATCTGATTATTTCCTATGCACATAAAACTCAGAGGTGAAAAGAAGAGAAGGAAAAAACAAGAAAAAAACGTAGACTACTTCTAACAAACATCAAACTTACATTTTCCGGTATAGTTGGCAGTTTTAGGTGGTTTGGACACTTAGCTACAAAGAACTGGAAGACAGAGCATAAGCAGTTAGGCTTAGTGCATTAAATATTTTTTTTCACTCTACCAAATACATCAATCTTGTTAAACACATGATACTTTTTTATATCTAAGTACATCAATAGATATCAATATCATTAACATGGGAGTTAATTGTTCCCAATTATTATTACTGAAAAGAGTAAATTAGTATTATAAAACAAAAACAAGGAAGACAGAAACACACACAATAATTAATCACAGCTACACTTTCACGAGAGGATGAGCAACCTTACTGCCTTTTCTGAGTTTGCATAATAATAGTTAAATAATAATAATAATAATAATAATAATAATGATAATAATAATGAAAACACCATTACTATTAATATCTCATTCTTATATCATTATATTCATCATCGTCATTATCATCATCATTATTATCACATTATCATTATCATTTTATCACATCATTCATCATATTATCATTATCACTTTTATCAATGTCATCATTATCATCATTATTATTATTTTCATCCTCATTTTGATTATCATTATTATCCCTCTTATCAATCAATAGTGATAACAATGATGGAAAACAAATTTCTCTTCCACTTTTCGACTTCCGCTTCTCTCTTCTGAGCTATCCATACAATTACAAACCTTCCTATTCACATAAATTTTACATATGTTATTTGCATTCTTCTGCAGAGAATTTCTTTCAAAGGAAAATTCATTATTTGTAAAATTACCATACAACTTGAACTTAAGTCTTGTAAAGATAACCCAGAAGAATTAGAAGAACATTTTACAGCAAGAAATGAGTTATTTTCTACAATCTTTATTTCTTAATGTAACTTATTTTGAAGTCTCTAGCATTGCCAAAAAAGAGCAAAGGCAAAGAGTTAATTTGCATTGAATATGCCTTCACAAAAAATGCATGGTTACATCTCAGACTTCAACCCTGATTGCTCTATATCAGACTAATAGTTTATTTCTTTTATTCACATACAAACCAAAGTGTCTTAGTAAAGCTTGAGTCTTGAATTACTGTTAATCTTTAAAACATTATATCTGTTCAAATCTTTAGCTGATACTCTGGCTAGTGTAACTAGTCCCTTGCAATAAAATCTAATAGTACATTATTTACTTTATGTGTAAGTAAATAATGTCTAAATTATTTCTATTAACTGGATAAATTCACCTGCTGGCAATTTCATTCCAATCCTGTTACTCAGAAATTAAAATTCTACACTAAAAGTAAGAAAGGAAGAGATCTGATCTGATTGTCGAAGAAATTAATAAGCCAAAAATAATAACACATTAAGTTAGTGCAACACATGCTCATCAAAGCTCTCTAATCTTCCTGGATGGGATCCACAAAAGGACTTGCATATTTACATCATCAAAGTGATCCTACTCCGTCATCATTTACAATTAGCTCAGGGTCATATAGCTTTCAATGCTTCAGAAACACATTCATCACCTTAGCTCAGAATAAAAGTTGAAAATAGGCAGGTCATGTTACAAAAAAACTGTGGTACTACACAAGATTCCTTTCTACTCGTGAGTTAAATTTCTCATAAAATCATGAAATTAAAGCATAATACACACAAGCAATCATATATGATTTTTTTTTGCATTGTGCCACATTACACAAAAGTGCACTGTTGTTAGAATGACAACCATTCATGTATTCATTGCCTTTCTTCAAAAAGCTGAGAACTATCTGATGGCTATTTGCTAGAAATTTGTGAGAGCAAGGTTAGCAATTATATGCAAACTGGGTGATGCCATGCCATATCCATCCATATCCACAAAGACTCCCACATCCACGTGTCTTTGTGGAGATGGGTGTAAACTTCAGAATAACGAAACTAAGAGTCAAGCTGAGAACAACTTATGGATATTGTCCTTCATGGATCCCAGTCCATGATTTTCAGTTGCATAAAAACACTCACTAATAATATTATAATTTCATAACTCCTAAGCGCAAATTGATATCAATAGAGAAGCAACTCAAGCTGAAGAACCACAATAAGAGAACAGAGCAAGAAGAGCTTCATCACAACATGAAAATTGCCCAATAACTGCTGTAGCATCTACCTCCAAAACCAATGGTTTCAATGGTTCTTTAGCATTTACAGGCTAAACTGGTTCCAATTCATTATTCGTGCATTCTGGTAGAAATTTTAACAAAATTAGTTACATAAATCAGCATTACATTTGATGACCATAAGTTCACACTCTTCATCCAACAATACCTAAAGGAAAAATTGTAAAAGCAAATCTTATGTCTGTCTACAGCACATGACAAAAGTGTACACTGAGTGACACAGGCTGGTAGAAAATGACAATAAATCAGTGGGACCCAAATTAATTAAGGAATATTGCCATACACCTGGGCCACTATGATGGTATGTGAGTAGCTTCCTGAATGGTACTGACTGAATGGCTGAGGGAGAATTTGCAAGGTGGAGCACCTTGAGTTGTGCCATGTTAATTATAATCTCAAGGTTGTTTGCTGTATTCTGCAATTCTATGACAGCGAAAGTTGTCTGGCTGTAGCAAGAGAATCAAGAAACAAAAGTAAGGAAACAGCAGGTTCAATGTGTGTTTGTAATCAGTCCATTCTGTTGGGAAGTGGCCAGCTACATTCCGCCTGCATGTCAGTACCGATATATACACTAACTACTTCAACAGGTCCACTCTGTTTTTCCCATATTCTGTGCCTGCCTGCATCTCCCATCACACACATCTGTCAAGTGCTACATGTTAATGAGAAAATACCAAACAGCCTATCCTCACCAGAAAGGGACTCTTAACTCTGAATTGGCACCTAGAATATTCTAATTACATTAGTTTTCCTACTGTAGACAAAATGGTAGACAGGATGAAGAACTGTAAAAATTCATAAAATACAACAGAATGAGAGAACTTAACAGAATAAGAAAACAGAGAGAACAACCCATCAGTGTTAATTTTGGCCATCAAATATCACTCCTTTGTTTTAATACATCTGGGAACTATCTGTCACAGTATCATCAACGACTGCACAGATTGAACAGAGAATGTAATCATGAGCATCAACTAGAGATAACAAGTAAAGAAACTCTAGAGCAAGTTAGGTCGAGCTATTTGATTCCCATATACAATAACGGACATCTTTCTAGCTTTGTTTTTCTCCTCATCCTTTATTTCTAACCCACAAATAAAGACAAAAATATACATTACAAATCAATACACGAATGATCAATGCATGACCAACTAAACAGATACAACTGAGAGTCAACTTACCTTGTTATCTCCATATGGCACTGTTATCTCAGTACCTGGAAGGGGGACTTCAAATTTGTAAATATTCTGCAGGCAGGAGGTCAAGTCGCTGGTGCGGCCCGCAGTCATCATTTCCGATAAAGTATTTAGAAGTCTGCAATATTCATATTCATGTCAAAAGCACTCACTCTCTTACTTTGCAAAATCATAAAAGCAGATACACTTCAAATCATCATGAATATCATTATTTTCACATTCATAACACATTCATTCAAAGAGGAGGAGGAGGAGGAGGAGATGGGCAAGGAGGAGGAGATGGGAGACGAGGAGGAGGAGGATATGGAGGAGGAGGAGGAGACAGAGGAGGACAGAGGAGGAGGAAGAGGAGAGGAGAGGAGGAGGAGGAGAGAGGAGGAGAAGACGGAGGAAGAGGAGGAGGAGAAGACGGAGGAAGAGGAGGAGAGGAGAAGGAGGAGGAGGAGAAGAGGAGGAGGAGGAGGAGGAGGAGGAGAGGAGGAGGAGGAGGAGGAGCTGAGAGAGGAGGAGGAGACTGAGGAGGAGAGGAGGAGGAGAGGAGGAGGAGGAGGAGGACTGAGAGAGGTGAGGAGGAGGAGGAGACTGAGGAGGAGGAGGAGGACTGAGGAGGAGGAGGAGACTGAGGAGGAGGAGGAGACTGAGGAGAGGAGGAGACTGAGGAGAGGAGGAGGAGGAGGAGGAGGAGGAGGAGGAGGAGGAGGAGGAGGAGGAGGAGGAGGAGGAGACGGAGGAGAGGGAGGAGACGGCCGAGAGGAGAGTAGGAGACGGAGGAGGAGGAGGAGGGAGGAGGAGGAGGAGGAGGAGGAGGAGGAGGAGGAGGAGAGAGAGAGGAGGACAGAGGAGGAGGAGGAGGAGACAGAAGAGGAGGAAGAGGAGGAGGAGGAAGAGGAGGAGAAGACAGAGGAAGAGGAGGAGATGGAAGGAGGAGGAGGAGACTGAGGAGGAGGAGGAGAAGGAGGAGGAGGAGAGGAGGGGAGAGGAGGAGGAAGAGGAGACGGAGGAGGAAGAGGGACGGAGGAGGAAGAGGAGGAGGAGGAAGACGGAGGAGGAGAGGAGGAGACGGAGAAGGAGGAGACAGAGGAGAAGGAGGAGGAGGAGACGGAGGAGGAGGAGGAGACTGAGGAGGAGAAGGAGGAGGAGGAGGAGACAGAGGAGGAAGAGAGACGGAGGAGAGGGAGGAGGAGATGGAGGAGGAGGAAGAGGAGACGGAGCACGAGGAGAGGAGACGGAGGAGGAGGAGGAGGAGACAGAGAGGAGGAGGAGGAGACAGAGAGGAGGAGGAGACAGAGGAGGAGGAGGAGACAGAGGAGAGGAGGAGACAGAAGAGGAGGAGACAGAAGAGGAGGAGACAGAGGAGGAGGAGGACAGAGGAGGAGGAGGAGACAGAAGAGGAGGAGGAGAGAGGAGGAGGAGGAGGAGGAGGAGGAGGAGGAGGAGAGGAGGAGGAGGAGGAGGAGGAGGAGGAGACGGAAGAGGAGGAGGAGGAGACGGAAGAGGAGGAGGAGGAGACGGAAGAGGAGGAGGAGGGGAGACGGAAGAGGAGGAGGGAGGGAGGAGGAGGAGACGGAAGAGGAGGGAGGAGGAGACGGAGGAGACAGAGGAGGAGGAGGAGGAGGAGGGAGATGGAGGAGATGGAGGAGGAGGAGGAGGAGATGGAGGAGATGGAGGAGGAGGAGGAGGAGGAGGAGGAGGAGGAGGAGGAGGAGGAGGGAGGAGGAGGAGGAGGAGGAGGAGGAGGAGGAGGAGAGGAGGAGGAGGAGGAGGAGGAGGAGAGGAGGAGGAGGAGGAGGAGAGAGAGAGGAGGAGGAGATAAAATCAAAGACAACAAAGAAGATGAAGACGAAGACAAAGATGACGAAGAAGATGAACAACAACAACATAAAAGGTGCACAGGATAACGATAACCCCTACTCACTTGTAAAAAGTTTCGTGCCAAGGAAGATGAGAGAGCAAGACCAGAGCAGTTTCTGCACCTGGGGCGTGGCGGCAAAAACCATACGTCCATTTCGAGTCCAGGCTTGTCAGTACGAAGGAAAAATGCTGGACATTTGTGCTGGGGAATATATAACGCTTCATTACAGTTTCTGCTACTTCAGAAGTATGAAAAGTGAAACAACTTTATAAAGAACAAGTATATAAGCCATGTCAATCGGCTGATTAGTTAGAATTGGCGAGGACCAACTCAATGAACATTCATTATACAGACATGCATATACACAGAAATGAATACATATCTATCGGTCTAGATATGCATATCTAATGGATAGATAGATAAATGTATCAGATAGATAAACAGATATGCTTTTATTTCTGTGTATATATACATGTTCGTATATATGAACATTCATTGGGTCGGGTCTTGCACAATTTTAACAAACTGACTAAATATCTATGGCTACTTGATCTCACCTGTTTATTTTTTTCTTGATTACTGGATAGACATCTATAATGTTTTTGTTATTGTTAGTAATTCTACTAACATAGTACCTAGCATAATGTTAATAACAATAACAATAATAACTAACGATAATAATACTGGACCGAAATTAAGGGATTGCGTTGGGCAATGCATGCGGACAGGCCAGCGACTTGACGGGGAATCTCTCAATGTCCAGCACCAAAAGGATGAGGTAATCACAAGAATGAGGTAAGCCTACTTATTGATTCCATGGTGACTGAGTACTTGCTAAATAAGACTAAAATACAAAAAAAATTCTGAACCAGAAATTTTTATGAAGTACTGGTGTGGTTTGATATATATTGAGAGTTCTGAATAAAAATATTAAGTGTTATCGGCAATGTCTAGTACCTTTCCTACTTTGTACTTCAAGTGCTCACTTCAAAATTACAGCCCCATTACAAAGATTCTGAAGAATATTTGGAAAAAAAAAAAAAAAAAAAAACAAATAAATAAATAAAAAAAAAAACATTTGGTGGGATGACCTACACTACCCTTCTATAAATTCACTCAAGAATACATC